ACCCCCCCTCTGCTCGGGGGGTATTCCTGCATCTGCACCTCCAACACCAGCTGAAGCAGCTAAATAAAACACAAGTCAGAAAAAAAGCAGTCGTTCGCTCCAGCTCCTCACAAAACCGCTGCCCCCAGGTCAGCGAGGAGGAGCCGCTCTCTGAATTACCGCTCCGTGCTCAAGCCGGCATTCGTAGCGCTGTCACCAGCCCCCACCGGCAGCCTTTTGGTGGTCACGCTACATCTCACGAAGCAACAGAAACAATACAATCAGGCCACCTACACACCTCGTTCCTTTTAATAAATCTAGTCAGTTAGAATAGATGGAACGGAAAAAAATTTGGTAACATCATACTTCTGAACTGAAATAACCAAAGTCACCCTCTAATTCGATAAAATAGCTTCCCCTTCAGAAACGGTGCGAGTTCTGGCAGGCCCAGCACACAACGGTGCTAAAGCGAGTCTTTCCTGCAGCAGCATTTTAAGTAAACTCAACACCTGAGCGACTGTTCAAGGCATACTAGGTACCAGGTAAAATTAAGAGGAACTTGGATTATGAACATATGCTTTAATTTTGATCTATAGATTCAGAACATTAGCAAAACATCTTCTAATAAGAAATAATAATAGGTTTAGTCTTGATTTGAATACAAGCAGAATATAAATGCTGAAACCATCCCCCCTCAACACATACACACTGAAACCAAACTCAAATCCTGCCTGGCTTTCATTTAGGTAATCAGCTGTTCAAGCTGAAGCATCAAGTACAGCTGTAGTGAAAAGGAAAAAAACCTCCAAAACCACAGCGTGGAATAGAGGAGATAACAAACCTATGGTATAGCAAGAATTCGAATGGACTAAAAAAGCCCTACCATTTTCTAAAGCAATTTGCAAGTGTTAAAAGTATGTGGAGGGAAACCTTAAATACTGAACAAAAAGGGAAGTTTCACAGAACACAGGAATCGGTTAATGATGTTCAACGGCTAGCACAGAACCAATTTACGGAGAATACTAAAAAGAGCTTACTATTCCTGAAGAATTCCCATTTAGTTTTTAACCTAGCGAAGCTTTTATCTTGACAGAATGAAAGATTAAAGTAAGCTATTCAAAACTTCACATTATTAAAAACATTTAGAAACTTCTACATTAACTTTTTTTTCATTCAGCTAATAAATGAAACATCAGTCTGCTCTTGGTTTATGCTTTTACATTTGCTGAAAATTTCTTTCCATTTATCTGCATAATGGCCTAGGCAAAAAAGCAATTTACTACAAGATTTTTGCTTTAAGCCTTGCTAAAACTGAAGAATAATATTTTCCAATGAAGTTGAGCGAGCCAAGTTCAGTTCCCATACGCAGATTCAGAGGTTTGCTTTTGGTTGCGATATTGTCCAAGGCTGGTGTTTAAACTCAGTTCTGGAACTGAGCAAGCGCTTAAAAGGAGGACCCCACGGTTCCACACGTTCCTACACCCCCTAAGGTCTGCCTTCTCCGGTAGGGTGCTTCGAATAAAACTCTGTAGTAGTTTTCAGTAAGGCAGCACAAATCTGGTGACTCACCTGCCACGCTTACATTTCACTTGCCTGCTTCAGTCTTTAAGCTGCTGTTAATACAGACCCAGGTGCATCACGGGGTGAAACACAGAGTCCCACCCACCGCGTGCAACCTCCCAGGCCTCTCTGCAAGAAGTCCCTGGCCATCCCTCATGGCAGAAGAGGGCACAAACCAACCCTTCTAACCTTTGACTGCTGACAAGGGAACTGATGAGAGCTTAGCACTAGCGTTTTTCCTTTTCCTCTCCATTTGCTTGAAATACCAGGTTTAAAAAAAAAAAAAAAGCCTATAGTTTTCCTCCTAAAAGGCCTAGCAATTTCGGGAATTGTCACACGTTCAGGTGCAAGGACAGGGCAGCCCTTCATAAAGTTTGAAACAGTCTCATTTAATCCAGAAGCTGGGTCTGTTGGTGACAGCAGACTTGTAGGACACAGCAACCTACAAGGGAAGACCAGAAAGGTTTCTTACGTAGAGGACCCTTAGTTCTCCACAAGCACTGAGGAACACAACTACTAATATAATTGAGAGCGCAAGCATGATAGGGATCAATAACATACCAAGGCCTCCTCAGAAAACAAGCAAGTGTCCGCTAATGGTTTAAAACATTTGCGAGAGCATGTTTATGTGCACCCGAGGTCCCACTGCAGAGTCTAATTATCATGGAAAAAACTCCAAGCAGCCCTCCACTCTTTAACAAGCGTATCCCGGGGACCGCACCCAGCATCAGAGAGCAGCCACAGCACTTGATCTTACCTTCTCCAATTTGCTTCATTTCATTTGCAGCAGTGTCAGGAGCCTAGAGAAAAACAGTGGCACTAAGTACAAAGTATGGTAATTCCCCCTCACATCCAGCAGAGACCAACTGCCTGGTCTTAAGGTTGTGTTTTACCTATTTATGGGACTTAAGGGACATCTAACCTTCTCATGAAAGCAGCAACTACTCACCTGTTTTCTTGACAACTCTTTCAACAACAGAGCAGCCTTTTTTTTTTTTTTTCTTCTAAACTTCCAGGCAGTGGGAGCCCTTTACACTCTACTAGAGATGGAAATAGAAAAGTACTTTACCTGAGAACGTGGGGTGAGTGACTTTTTGGTGGTTTTGTTTTGAACGAACAGAGGGCTACGTGTAACTCCATTCAGTTAACTGCTGTAACGCTACAGCCAAAAGGCTTTGCAACACATTTTGGCTGGCATTTCCTATGATAAAAAAACCACGTGAGTAAAAAGCTGAAGAACTACCTCACATCACCATCGGCTAACCCTAAGTTTAGCTTAAGAAGATACTGGAAAAAATCCCATATAAACAAAGCTCCTGAAGACAGACAGAGAGGGGCTGAGAAAGGTAAAATTGTTTTCTCCGTGAGTGGGAGTAGCTCACTGCACCAGAATATCTTTGCCAGCCAAGCAGGCTGCTCTGGAGACGGCGAAATTAGATGCCCAGGTAAACAACTGCTTCATAAAGCCTTTACACAAGGTGCAGGAACACATTCCCCTCATTATATACAGCTGTTCTTTCACACTTATTTTTGGAAAATAGGAAATTTATTTATTTGCAGAGATAGCCAAAATTGGTCTCAGGAGACAGATGTCCTATTTCAGCACTGAATCTTAGTTTGCATATTTTATACCAGTCCTCCAGCTCTTCTAAGGGAAGCATCTTTGACTGACTATATGCTTTTACTGAGACTGAGCAGAATTTTTTTTGTGTTGAACTTTTTTTGTTGAACTTTGTTGTTGTTAAACAGAAAAGGGAAGGTCTGGCCTCCCTTGCTGACGTTCAAAAGATCACGTTATGAACCAGCGTGAACCAGGAAAACATGAACTTCTGTGTTTGTCTATTCCACTCTGACAATACTTCATTACACTGTTTGCTAGAACAGATTTAAGAACAAACAGGAAGCAGAATCTGTGCAACTATCTTTAGCTTGAAGCTAATTTTTTGGCACATGCGGACAACATTTTACCTAGCAGGAACAAATCTGAGCTCTTCTCTCTAGCATCAGGAGTGACAAATTACCACAAATAAATGTCACTCAATTGAGGGACTGCAGGAGAAAGCTAGACTAATGCAAGTCTAAACAATTTAAGGGATACAGTTCCATGAGGTTGTTGATAATTCACTTCAGCTTGTCAACCATTTGCACTCTAAATTTGATGCAAAAGTTGTAGGTTGTTTTTTGTTTTAAGATCGTTAGTCATTTCTGGTAACATGCAAGGATGAAGGCCCTTACTATCCAACAACACATGTTCAAGAGGCCTTAAGATAGACTCATTGCATAGAAGGTGCGAACACAAAAGTTAATCCCAAATGTTAGTTCATTCTTCAGTTGAACTATGATTCCCATTAGGCTAATAACCCATCTCTACGCACACAGCATGAACGGATCAAGGCTGTACTGCCTACTGTTGCAGGTGACTTAAGAAAGCACACATTTAGGACACGCAACAATCCAAGTTACCAGTTGACTGCTTGTGTGTATACTCCAAAACGTTGATTCTCTCAGCTCTGCAGTAAACAACATTAAAAAGCTTTAATATATGCAATGATAGCCACATTGTTGTGTTGCACATTTTCCAATTTTAATAGACACAAAGTGAGTCCATTGTACTTAAGACACTACAATGACTTCATTCTATTGCATGTCCTGCTCCAATTACATTTCTCAGAGTACAGTATTGAGTAAAAGTTTGGTAGCTTTAAAATTAACAGGTGTGTGAAATCTGTAAGTAAAATAAGCAGCAGCAATAATTTGGGGGATTTTATCAAGAATAGCTAACTTTTAAGTAATAAATACATTCCAAGTTGTGGTATTTGCTGTTCTCCTAGTTCATTGCCGTCTGACTTGTCAAATTCTCATCCTAGGTTAACATATCCTTAAGACTTTCCTGCCAGCCTCACACCAGAAGAGCCTCCTAACTCCACGTCCAGGTGCCTGTCACCTTTCACAGATGATAAGCAGTGCAATGTGACAAGGAAACTCGTCCTCCTGTCATGTGCATGGCAACCTCCAGATTCTCCTGGGGAGCATGTCAGGATGTTTACAGACTTCGTGACACTCTAGGAGAACAGCTGTGCTCTTATCTTCTGTTACCTTGAAGAAAGTGAGAGAGGGAGAGGTTACTGCACGTGGCACAGAACTGACCAATATTAGCTGCGAGGCACACGCTCCTTGGTTTCATCTAAATATAGTCTGGAATTCTCCTGCTTTAAACTTGCATAGCAGACCAAACACAGCAGCAGCTACAGTTTTGCAAGAAACTTGTCAAGTTAACAGATCTAAAGAAAGAGCTGGAGTTTTCTCCAAGACAGACATGATAAAAATTTCAGCGATAACAAGAAATTGTCAGTCTCTAATTTGAAGACTTTTAAGCCCCTTTTCAGGGTGGGGTATTGCAGGTAATCTACCACAAGACCCTACAGAGAGGGCCCCATGAAGAACACCTGGTTTGGTGCTGCCTCTGGTTTTCAAATAGAATCTGTAAAATAGGATTTTTTTGCCCCCTTAGGATGAGCCTTGCAGAAGTGTTCCTAGTTACCTGCAACTGCTCAAGGTATCGAGTACCGCCACAGCACTCAAATCATGTTTTGAGTGAAGAGGTACAGCAGCCAAGCCACCTTTGTACTTTTGACTCCAACGGGAAGAGAGAACCTTCCCCTCCGACATCCCCGCTCAGCACAGGCGCTCTCATCCCCACTCCGCACTATTTCTCATTCCTAGCTCTACAGGGAAACCGACTGCCACAGCAACGCTGCCAATCTCCTTGGGGCACCCAGGATCTCTCTGGCCTGTGGCCTGCAAGGGCCCCAGAAGGACACTATAACACTCCCCTAACAGTCAGTCCATCTAAGATCACAGTAACTGAATGCAAAAGACCACTTCTGATGAATCTTCAGGCAATCAGACAAGCATGCAAGATATTCTTCCAAATTCAGAAATTAAAAGGCAAAACGACATACTCCAAAATAAAACTATCAAAAGGTAATGAAGTTACTCATGCTTGACCTCCTACATTCTTGTCATTTGGCTAAATTTCTCACCAAATACCACACACTAAAACCAAGGGTAGATGACAGGCTTGAAAAGAAAGCCCTACTGGAGAGAGGTGTGCCTATCAAAGGAAAAACTTAACAAAGATAGAAGTCCTTACCCGTACCATTCTGGATCTTTTTTTTCTTTTCTACCCCTGCATGCAAGACGTATTTGCATTGGCCCTGTAAGTCAGGTTAAACGAGGTCGAACCCCTACAACAGCTTAAAGGGAACATCCATTTGTCTACAAGATCAAGTGAAGAAGCCAGAAAAGACGACAGGCAAGATAACTCAGTGATACAGAAATGAATGAAAAGATGGCATGGAGACCTACACTAACACTTTCCATGCTGCAAAAGCATCACTGTGCTACACTTCAAATACAATTCAGTTAGGACCACTTTGAAAGCATGATCGGTCCTAACACACGTCCATGCCCAGTCATTTAATCTGACCGAGTCAGAACCACAAGCTCAAATCTGTGTTCCTGACAAGCAAACAGGATTAATGCTATGAAGCAAAAGATCAAACTCCTTTAAAAACCCCTCACAATTGAGGTTTGTGACTTATGAGTACCGCATGTGATTAAGCGAAGAATGCCAGCACCAAAAGCAGAAAGATGATCACATTTCCAGCACTGATGAAAACGTACCAACATCCCCCCCCTCTAAGGGCATAGAATCCAAAAGTGACTCCGATTTGCCCAGTCTCACTGTCTCTGTCCCGTGTAAGGACAGAGAGCAGGCTGATTTCTAGATCCTAACTGAAACTGCTTTGAGGCCAGGATAAGGGAGTCTCCTCTCAGAGCATAAAGTTGATATTACTGGCAAAATTGCAAACCTCTTAAAACAGCTGATGACTCCGTATCTCTAAATGATGAAACCTCACCACTTCACTCAGATTTACTTGCAATTCTGGTACTATTACTAACAGGCATTTGTCCTGAGTCCAGAAACACAGAGCTCAAGAATTTCACATTCAGTAAGTGAGCAGAGGCTTCCTCTTAGTAGAGCTCAGGTGCCTATTTTAAGTAACCCACTAAGCAGACCCAGGAGTTTTCAACACGCATTCAATATGTGCGGCACAGGGACAGTTGTTCAGACCCACTCACTTGGTCTCTGGGAAGCGTTAGAGGTTGCTATTAAAAAAAAAAAGTTTAAAGATGAAGCAGCAGCTTAAACACTACTGTACATTACTGTACATTCTGTACATTACTGCAGCCTTGATACACGTATGAGTAATGAATACATAATGGATTGAGTGATTCAGGACAATGGCATGATCTAGCAGCCTCTATGCTAAACTGTACGCCAAAAGCAGAGCCAAGGAAGTTCTCCTGAAGGCAAGAGCTTATTCGTAATAAAAAAATGCCGTTTGGGATGAAATAAAACCATTCACAAATTCAGATTTAACAGCTGCAGCAGAGAGCAAAAAAGGCCAAGTTACCTTTTGAGGTTATTGCATCCTGACTGGATTTGTGCATGGGGATCCTCCTCACACAGCCACCCCTGCAGACCCACCCGGAGACTCAGCCCTTAACATTTCAAATTGGGCACATGCAGGACATCGCCAGCACCTCCTCCAGGGCGCAGGGAGCATCCGAGTCCCTGTGCCTTTATGAAAGTACCTTGGTGCAAGGGGCCAGGTGCAACATCAAACAAGTTCCTGAATTTGCCAGGGTTTGCAGAGAATGTAAAACACAACAGCTGTGCTCACAGGTATTACTTGCCACACCACTACCAGAAATACACATTAGCAGATTAACTGAAGGTGAAGACCAAGAGACAAGCAAGTGCGTCTGAGGGAAAGAAGGAAAATGAAGTCGCCACCACCACACGGTTACTGTGCTTGCACAGACAGACACGCCTCTCTTCCAACAGGGTTATTTCTTGCCTATTCAGGATTCAGAGTTCGTGCAGAAGTTAAAAACCAGGTGTTCAGGAGACCAAGATGCTGCCCTGGCCCCAAAACGGTGCAATTTTTGAGCCTTAAGACCCAGTGCAGGAAGAGCGAGGAAGCTCTATTGCAAAGCTGCCTACTGCCACCTTCTAAAAATTCCTACCTGGAAAGTAGAAACAGAAAAATTTTTCTCACTCAGATAAGGTGGGAGATGTTGACCTCAACTTGAAGATGTTCTGAAATAATACAGGTTGCAGACTTTCATGTAACTACTGGGTCACCTTGGCAGAGTTAAAACCTGGAACCTAGCATTTTGTTGTGCTGGTCTTTTCTGTTTAGCCTAGTCCTGCTTTGTGCATCAACGTGCTCCTGCCTTGGAGAGCCCAGACATATTCTGTCTGGAGAAAAGGGGAAAAACGCACCTGGACAGGCAGGTAGTATTCTACTATGACTTGGTGCTCAGTACCACTTTGCTACTTCAGACAGTTTACTTCCTATTTCATGTTTTATGCAAGTATCTGACACTGAACAGACCAAAAAAAAGAATAAAAAGCCAAAAAGAATAAGTATTGCAGTAGTTAAGAAAAATGTTTTTACTGCCTCTTAATTTTACTTTTGAAGTGACGTGATTTTGTGGCACCCAAAGGGACGTGATTTTCACAGGGTAGGTGGTTTAAAAAAAAAGGAATCTAGCTCCTATAGGCAGTTTCTCTAGAAAACTCCAGAGTGAGGGCACCCAAGAGCTGCAGGTCCAAAAGGCTCTCCCATCACACCCTTCCAAGCGGCACAAGCTCCAGGAAGATCCAGTTATGCTAACTGGAAGTTGAAGAAATGAAGGCAACAGTAACTCTGATCGTTTTTTCCACCCAAGTAGCTTATTCTGGAGGAAAATTTTCTAATCATAATGCTGGTAATTAACAGCAAACTGTAATTTAGCCCCACGAAATCAGTCCGCCTTCAGACACCTACCCTTCTGGAAAAGGCAGCAAGGCAGCCCCGGCAGACATGGTTGTATCTTCCTGCGGCGCTGAGAAAGAGGGGGTGCGCAAAGACTAGAGAACCCGCTTCACCCAAACCCCAGGTGGCCTTCTGACAGACAGCCGAATGGCTCCCTCGGGCGCTCTTTCCTAAAGAGGGTACCTGCTCAAAAACCTGAGAAGCTGAGGGGAGAGGGAGGAGAGCACTGCTTGCAGTGCTTTGAGGATGTCCTTGCTTTTCACGCCTATTTCTTTTTGGGGGGAGTGGGGGGATTTGGGGGAGCAAGGATTACCGAATCCTGCCAGCCTGGAGCCACACACCAGCAGGAGCTCAGTACTCCTGCGAGCCAGATACAGGGCTCTGGAACCACCACCCAGCCCCAAAACATCAATATTCAGCTTACTCAAACAGGCTGCCACGTATGTTTTCCAGTATTAAATTCTATCATTCTGAGTGGAAAATTGGTACCACGTTTGAGGGTGTTCTGCGTTTAGAAAGGGTTCCTCTCAGACCGAAGAAAAAGCTCAAGTTATTGGCTTGAATCACAACAGAGCAAGGCATCATTCACAGTGCAAATTAAATTAGTAATTTTGCTACAACTCCTTTCTTCAGCTGTGGAGAACACACGGGAAGTAGGCTTTGTAAAGAAAACAAGTTTGTCTGATCCTACAATAGCAAGAATTTAATGTAGATTAAACAGGATATGGTACATTACTTAAAAGCATTAATTCCTTCAGAAATGAATGAACTTAATAAAAAAACTTCATTAAAAATACCCTGCTCCTCCCTTCTGGAAAGGCACACGTACCCAGTGACCAAACAGATGATTATACAAGTAATACAAGGCAGCTGACAGAGTTCACATGGGAAAGGCTCAGACACAAGATGCCGGAGAGAATTGGTGGCCCTTTGCTAAGGTGAGATGAGTCATGTTCACTCACACGCAACGCCTGACCGGGGAGCCACAGGCAGACCTGCAGTCCATGCTGCACCTCTACGGACCAGAGCAGAAAGAGCTTCCTGCTGCCCCGCAGACGCTCTGGCACAGCCCAGCGGCGAGAGCCTTCGCCCTCCCGCACCAGACGGACTCCGCAGTCAGCCGCTGCGGTGGGACCCCACGCTGCTGCTGCTGCTCTGGAGCAAGAGGACGCCCTCTGAGAAAAGCAGAGGGGCAATTTCCAGCTG